GGTAATAGTAGTAGGATGACACGTAATCGTATAACAAGTTAATAAACATTGATTAAATAATTTTTTATTTTCTTTTTCTGTCATCATTTTTAACTCGAATAATTATAATCAATTTATTAACGAACATTATAATAAAATAAATATATTTATTATTTAGTTGTATGTTTTTGATTAATAATAATATCCAAACATTAGAAATAATAATTAAAATGTATTTAATGTAATAAACGTTGATTAATAATTTTTATTCTTTTTCTGTTATTTTTTTTTATTCCAATAATTTAATAATTATTGTCAATCTATTAAAGAACATTATAATAAAATAAATATATTTATAATTAAAGTATACATTTTTTTATAGTAACATTCAAATATTAGAAATAATAATTAAAACATATTTTAATATAATAAACATTGATGAATAATTTTTATCCTTTTTTTATAATTTTTTAACTCCAATAATTATTGTCAATCTATTAACAAATATTATAATAAAATTATTTATATATTAATTAAAATTTATATATTAAACATTTATATATGCAATATAATATTTATTATAAGAAATTGTATTCTACATTTAAAACTTAATTATTTTTTTAATTTCAACATAGAAAATATTATGTTTGTTAATTATTCTGTTTTCTATGTCCATTATAGAAATATTATATATGTATATATATATGTATAGTGATAAGACTCGAATGAAGTTCTTCTAGTATTATAGTTTGATGATGATACTTAAAGTAGTTTTATCGATTTGGAAATACATGGTATGAGAGATAATCGATGATAGGATCAGTGACCGTATGGATAATCGAAAGTGTGCTTGTCGTAACTCTCTATGTATGTGTTAGTATGTGTATTCGAAAGTGCGTTCTATACTTGGATAATCGAGATTCTAAGGGGCACAAGGAATTTATGCATATATAGCACGTTCTTGTGGGGGAGTATTCTCACTGACGATACAAAGTAACCATCTCAACATGACGACAGGATATTCCTGTTGTATTTTAATCAATTGTTCGATTAATAATTAAATAATAATAATTTTATTAAAAATAAATATATTATTATTATCAATTGAATAGATTTACAATGAGTCATCAAAGTATTCGTAGTTTTATTGTTCAATTTTTTAAACGTGTTTTAAAATTATTAAACATTTTTTGGTTTTTGAAAGATTTTTATTAGAATTATTTATAATTTGTAATAATTGTGGATGTACGAGGATACTTTTGACAATTTTTAGTGTTTGTGATATGTAATAGTTCTAAGAAAAATAATTAAATATATTTTATAAATGATTTGTATACATTTGAGGATATTTGTAAGGAAATACAGAATACGAAAAAAAAAATTTATTTAGTAATATTATTTAGAAATAAATATACTTTATTCATATATAATATATTTTCTAAATATTTGAAAATACTTATAAAAATAAATGTTGGTATGTTTGTTTCAGTAGCATGTTGTAAATCCGTGTAAAATATCTTAGGTTAGGTTTTACTTAGTGCACGTGTTTAATGTTCGGTCTTATCGATTCTTTGCTTTTTACTTCTCTAGATTTTAGTTCAAAAGATTACTTTATTACTTTTTCCCAAAATGTTCGACGCTTATCTTTTATTTAAACGATCCTGTAAATCTGTATAAATAAATCACTCCTGTACCTATAAAGAATTACCAAAATACAATCGTAAAATTTCGTCTAAAAGATTTAGGAGTTTTCAGCTACCAATAATTTTTCTTTTTCCGTGTAATTTATATATTACAATTTAAATAATATATACAATTTTTGATGTACAAAATATTTGAATTATTTAATAATTATTAATCCAATTTTATATTTAAAAATGGGAAAGAAATTTTGAATATTTCTAAACTCGAATAAATGAGTCACGAAATTCTTGAATTGCATTTCAAAATACAACAATAATTTATAAATTACAATTTAATTATATAAACACATAAAGAATTTTTGATATATAAAATATTCTATATATAAATCATTTGAATTATTTCTAATTTGAACAATTAATTAATTGAATTACTTTTGTACTCTTGCTAACATGGTGGCAATTTGTATATTTCATTTTACGAAATTGGAGCCTTACCCCTAGTGATGAAAAATTGAACTAATGTTTGTTTGAACGGACACAATTTTCCGGTATACCTAATAATAATAATTTTCAATACAAATATTTCTCATTGTATATCCAAATTTTTATATATACAAAAATGAAAAGAAAAAAAACTATGAATTTGGAATATTTTTAACTTAATTTCGAATAGATTAGGCTATGAGGTATCTGAGACGCTTCAACTAACACAAACGACACTGAACATTTCATCAAAGTTAAGAACGATCTTTTCCGGTCGTCAGGTGGACTAACGTCCCTGTGGTTGGTGAAGCGACAGGAAACGCAGGTGCAACATAGGGTCGCCACTGAATTTACTCTACCTGAGTATGATAGAATGAGAGAGAAAGAAAGAAAGAGAAAGAGAGCCAGGTCAAAGATGTACAAACACGCCCTTCCTTAGTTCCATTTCTTCTTTATGCAGTCTGTACACGTCATAGACCATAAAATTCGAGGAACTTAAGATTAAGGGAGCGTAGCACCATGTCAGGTAGACGGAAATACAAACAAACGTCCTATAAACATATATATATATATATATATATTCACATACATATAATGTCAGGTAGAAATACGACTATAGACAAATTTCAAACACATATATAGGGGACAGATACCACTCATAAAATATTCAAGGTTAGTGTAGTATTATTAGTTAGATATCGTATTGAAGGATTTTCCCTGTGTGAACCGATGATGACGTTACCTCCATTCATAAGATTCACTATAGCAAAGGGAACTACCGCTGGGAGGTGGAGAAGGTTGGAATTTTTTTTGTCAGACCGATTCTGTAAAGCCCGTTTTTACTCTCGTAGAAGGCGAAAGTCATCCGCAATCCTACGCATACTATATACACGTCATACCAAAAGCATTTCTTTTTTTTTTTTTTTTTCTTATCCGATAAATCGAGAACATGTTTTTTTCGTTTCATCGATCGTACATCGATGTCACTTTTCTATGATTTCTTAGTGCGTTATCGAATCGTAGATAAAATCTGAGAATTTTGTTGTTGTTTGAAATTTTGGGGAAAAGTTTATCAGAGGCGAACGAATTGGAAAAGAAAAATCTTTCCTAACCTAAGAAATATCTATGACTACCTGAAAGTTGCATTCTTCTTTTAAAATACCTTTGGGGAAAGCAACTATGCGTAATATAAACCGATAATAAAGAAAGGTTACTTAACGATTTCTACAAAATTTTGTTTAAATAACACATGTGTATGATCGTATTAATTCGAAATAAAATGGAGGAAAGGATGATAATAAAAAAATTACTGTTTGTTGGAAAAGAAAGAAAGAAAGATATAGGCGTGTTTTCCTAAGAAGCTATAACATACCTAACGGGAACGCCAACGTGTATAGTATACAGCTTAATGTAATTCTAATTGACTTGGCCAAGTTCATTTAACTTGACCATACTGTTATATAGATGCGACGTTGATAGATCCGATAAGGTAATAGATTTTACGGAAGCCCAAAACCTTCATTAAACATCACACTGTCTAACTTGTTTTACTGTAAATATATTGGATGTTTCCCAAACGTTACTAGCAAATTTTATTTCACCAATATATCAATTTACTAGGTTTTATATACTTTTGTTAACACAATATTTCAATCGTTAACTCATATTGTAAAATAAAATACAACATATTGTAATTATATTAAATCAATTTTAATTATTTCTTTAGTTTTATTTTCTTCGATAAATTAAAAACTTTCGAGACACCCTATATAAAATATTATGAATCATACCGGAAGAATTCTACGGAAGAAATTTTCCTTGAACAATTTTGAATATATTATTTGATCGTTTTGATAGATATTGAAAATATATCCGTTTATCTTCTCATTTAACTAAAATTTGATTTATAAATCATCAAATTTGATTATAATCGTTTGATTTATTTGAGAATGGGAGATTTTATTGGAATAAACGAGTACTACTTTATCCAATTTATCGGTAAAACGATATACGAATGAAATGGTTTAGCAGTGCCATCTAACGGAACATTATGATAAAAAAGGGTATTTTTCTTAACTACTATGGTAAAGAAGGAATGAAAATAAAGAATGAAAATTAAAAGCGAAGATTTCAATGCGTGGCGCGCATCAAACATTACCACACTTTCTCGCGATATTTTTTTTTTAAATAATTAATAACAAATGCTAAAGATTTGTTAATGAAAAATGTGTACGTACATATATATATATGAATTGTATAACCTAAATTGATTGTTTGTGGTCAATTCAATAAACCATTTTAATTTTATATTTCGTTTTTGCATCTCGGTCAGCCATAGTATCAAAAAAAAAGAAAAAAAAGAAAAATAATCCAATCATGGTAGAATAAAAGCTAAATTTTGGTATATAGACGATCAACAACATGATTGTTAAAATATAAACAAATTAAAATTGTCAGAATGAATGAAAAATAAAAAAAAATAATTATTATTACAAACTGACCTGAAAATAGCTTCGCGTTCGTCCGGTGTATTGAGAAAATTGCCGTCGTTAATCGCTGAAGATGTCGATCCTCTTGGCGACCTCGGGCCGCCCTCAGGTTCTCCAATCAGGACCTCTGTCCGGCCATTTTGGAAGGGACTGCTAGCACGGCGTTCCCCTACCTTGTTGCTGGTCGGCACCGGTTGCTGCCAAGTGATAAATTCGATCAGTATCGTATAACCTGTGAGTATTCCGATCATATTGATCATTCCAATCTCACATCATTCATATTTTATATACATATATATGCTATATTTATGTAATACACTATTATTAAATATTAGAGTAACCCAAAAGTTACGTCCATTTTATTTTTTTAATATTTTTAAAAATAAATTTTATGAGAACAATCCATTATGCAATTTATTATACAATTTTTTTATATAATAAATATATGAATTTTTGTATGGTTTAAGTTAATGTAATATTATTAAATATTAAATTGATTCAATGTTTATATTTAAGATTCAAATACTCCTAATATAAATTAAATATACAATAATAATATATAAATTTATATTATCAATATATAATTATATTAAATATACAAAATAATAATTTATAATCCTAATATAAATTAAATATAAATATATTATAAAATTATTTATATATAATCTATTATTTCTATTAATTCTATATTAAAGTAAATTAATTGAATTATGAGCTGACATTTTTCAAAAATAAATTTTAAATACAATTTTTCAAATTATTTTCCATAACCTAACACGTATCAAACATATATGTGGGGTTTTTTTTGTGATACACGTATACGTAACGTTGTCTCAAGGTGACAGAAAAAAAGAAAAACCTATATTTCAAAGGATACTAATTTTATATATATATTAACTACTTAAACTATTTTTCTCGTTTTATTATATCGATTCTTACTCAATCGCAAGGTTAGCTTTTTTACAATTTTTTTTTTTTTCCTTTTCATTAATAGCAATCTAACACCCATCAATGTCACTGGATGTTGCTGCACGTAAGTTTCACCATCGCGGGATTTCCGGTTAATGGAAATAGACAAAAATAAACGTGAAGTCATTACTTTTAAATGCAAAAGTATTTTGGTTAGAAATACATTAACACATACGTGTATCAACATACATTTATACGTATATACGAATCATTATTATTCTTTTCTTTTTTACTTTATAATTAAAATACGATATAGTTATCAGCCGTTATATCTTTATAGAAAGAAAAATCACGATAAATCAAGGACACGTTGTCTATCGGAAAAAGAACTAATCAATATTCTTACTACACCTATGTATAAATTACAAAACTTAATTATACATCGTGATTTATAGCTTTAACACGTTGAACGCCACGTCAGTCATCGGTGGCTGACACTTGACTTACCGTTCAGGCCGCGTCAATCATCGGTGACTGACAGCGTATAACACGATACACTGTTTTATGGAATTACAGAAAATTTATTGAAAATTTATTTAATTTTCACTCATTACAGGATTGATGGGTTTCATTAAAACACAGTAAACATAATAAGTTTCTATTGCAATAAGAAACAATGGTTCTACAATACTCAACGCTTCTAAGCGGCACGCGTGGCCTGACGGGGACTTCCTTAAAAATGGGCGTGGCGCTCAACGTGTTAAACATTTGTTTTTATATTTTTCTTTTTAACTCGGTTTATTTGAAATGATTTAATAAATTGAACTGACCAATAGATTAGTTTCATCCGATGAATTTTGTTGTTTCTCCGAGACGTCTTTACGTTCCTGTTGAATTTTCCCTTCTCTCGTGTCTTGAGTATCCTTGCTCACTCCTTTTGGTATCGTACCGTTACTGAGTTTTGATAAGAAAGCGTTCGTATTACGCACATCCCTATAATAACAAAAAAAAAAAAATAAAATAAAATAAAAGATAGAGTAAAAAATAACGATACTAATTAAAATATACGTAAAGGAAGTATTTCCATTTAAAAAAAAAAAAAAAAAAAAAAGAAAAAAAGAACAGGAAAAAGGAAAAAAATGAAAANAAATAATATACAATTGTAAAAAAAAAAAAAAAAAAAAAAGAAAAAAAGAACAGGAAAAAGGAAAAAAATGAAAAGGTGAGAAAATATTTTTCTTAGTCAAATATAGTACACGTATAACAACTTATGAATACAGAGTGGATTTTGAAAGAAGATTATACTGTGGTATTTCATGATATTAGATAGTGTGAAATGAAAAAAAAAAAAAAGAAAAAGACAACAAAAATGAATTAAAGGACTGCATTTTAAATGTACTATTTGTATGAAAAAATAAAAAATAAAATTAAAATAAGAGAAAAAAAAATAATTAACGTCGTCTTGTATACGATTATTATTTCGAATGAATGAAAGATAATAAAATGAAATAAAATAAAATAAAATGAAATAAAAGAATAACATTTAAATATCACGATCGAATGTTTCCATTTCAAATGAACATTCAAAGTAAATCTCAAGTAATATTATACACTTTCTCGTATTAAAGGATAAAATATATATATATATATGAAATGATAAGAAAAAGAAAGTACTTTCTTTCTAATTCTTGAAGAATTTATAAGACGGGGGTGGAAGTTGGAGGGGGGTGGGAGTTGAAGGGGTCAATCTCAAGAAGTACTCACTCATCCGCAAGGGTCACGGTGACCTGATTACTCGTTACATCTTTTCTCGTTCTTTCCTCGCTCGTGGATGCACCGGTCTCGTTTATCTGCAGAATTAAAATAGTCTGTTATAAATTATTCATCATTCTCGTGAGAAATGATGAAAAAATAAAAGAAAGAATGAAAGAAAGAAAAAGAGAAAGAGATAGGAACAGATGACGCAAAATACAACTAAAGTATTATACCACCCCCTCCTCCCCCAACCCCCAAATGTTATCCAAAATAATCATGATTTTCATTTATTGATCATTCGAAAAAAAAAAATATTTAATCAAGGATTATTATTAACGTACACGTATATTTGCATACACCTATAATGTACGTGTTATATATATAGGGGTTGCCTTGAAAATGTTCTCTCTCTCTCTCTCTCTCTCTCTCTAATTTATATATATATCACATATATATAAATATTTATAGAAAGGTACGAATTTTTCGGTCAACTTATTATAATAAAATGCACTTTTATATAAATACATACATATATGTATATATTTCATTTTATTATTTAATTATATATTTTATATTATTTATTTTATATATTTTCATTATTTATTGTAATTATTATATTTATAATTATATATTTTATATTAATTATTTTATATTATTTATTTTATATATTTTCATTATTTATTTTAAATATTATATTTATAATTATATATTTTAATGATATATTTTATATTATTGTGTATATATATTATATATATACAAATTAAAAAAAAAAAAAAAATAAAATACACATCTAATTAATACGAGAATTAATATGTATCAACATATATTACATATATTCACATATAATAATTAAAATAAAATATACATACATTAATATATACAAATTAAAATAAAAAAACTAAAATACACATTAATATAAAATATATATATATATATATATTTCTATTTAGTGTAATAAAACGTAATGAGAATAATTGAAAACAAAGAGAGATGGAACGAATAAGAAATTATAATAAAATACAAAAAAAAAAAAAAGTAAAAAAAATAAACAACGACAAGAATAACAACAACAACAACAAAATGAAAATGAAAATCCTAAAGTCTAATAGTACGATGGTAGCTTATTCATTTTGCCTCGAGCAAAAGCGCAACCAAACGGCTTTGTAATCGTAATTACAACTCGAAGCAAGCAGCACGTTCGCACGTTCACCTTCGCATTCCACATTTCATAGGCGATCCTACTTTACAAAATGGTCGGGTGCCGATAATATATTTTTCTTTTATTTTATACTATTTTATTTTATTTTTATCTTATTTTCTGAATGACGATGACAGTATTTCAAATGACGTTAAGGAAAAATTAAAAAGAAACGTTGTCTTTAAATTTTACACGATGCAATTAAACGTTTTAAAAGAATTATTTATATATTTATATAAACAAGAATTGTTTTGTTTTGATTTGATTTTTTTTTTTTTTTTTTTCAATGGCTATGACCTGTGTCTCAATTTTTATTAAAAAATAATTAAGAAAAATGTTGTGTTTAAATTTTACACGTTGCAATCAATCGTTTTAAGAATAATTTATATAAACAAGAATTTTTATTATACTGTCATAAAAACTAATCATTTGTTAAAGTAATTATCTTTAAAACGTGAATTTACAAAAAAAAAGGGGAGATTTAATATAGTTAAGATATTTTAAAGATAATAAATTTATCTTGACGTCACTGTATTGAGTCTACAAGACAAAATTCATGTTCCGAAGAATGGCCAATGGTGTACATAGTTAATCTATATATATATGTAATATATATAATACCTATATGTATTACACATTTGTATGACGTATGCAAGCGTACCTGTTTTTCCGATACGTCAGAACGATCGATCGTAAATATGCTTACTACGTTATACGCATAATAATATACGTTGGAAAGTTTCTCTCTCTCTCTCTCTCTCTCTCTCTCTCTTTCCCATAAACTATTATGTTTTTCAATTTTTGACTTATCATTATTATTATTATTATTATTATATACAATATTTCTCATTAAATCTTTCTCTACACATTGCCGAAAGGTCAAAAAAAAAAAAAATAAAAAAAAAATAAAACACACATCTAACTAATACGAATTAATGTGTATTAACATACATTATTATTATTATTATTATTATTATTATGTTCTCTTTGTCTCTTTCTCTTTTAGCATAATTTTTATATTTTACAAGTATTATTATTATTACTTTTTTTTTCTTTCTTTTTCTCTCTTTTAGTATAGTTTTTAAAATTTATGATTATCATGTATAAAAATGTCTCGTGTAGATACGCTTGTTATGGGTGTCAAAAAATGAAGATATGTTAGAATCACGTGAAAGTTTCGTTGAAAGGGATCCACCTACCTGATGATCTAGTATGGCTTCGATATCCCGTAACTGGATGCTTCTTAGTGCAGCAAGCTCTTTCAACCTTTCTCTTACGCCTCTGTAAAAAATATATGTTAGTATTAGAGTACATTTATGTTCTTAGATCTATATATATATATATAGATATTTTCTTGTATTATACGGTTAATATAAACGCGATGTTTACAAGGATAAATAATTTACACTTACGTGTGTGTAAAATAATGCATGTTGCATTATTTATTGGAACGTGATATTTGTTTTTTTAATTGATTTATTTTTTATATTCTCGTGAGTTTGTTTTTATTTTTATTTTTATTTTATTTTATTTTATTTTATTTTTTAATTTGTTTCCTTTTTAGTTTCTTTTTTGAGTATGTTTTTGTAAATGAATAATAATATATAATGATAGTAAAAAAAAAAAAAAAAACTATTATTTATTAGCTAATAACCTAATAATTAAATAGGTTATTGGTAAATTTGCAATAACTTATAATATCGATTTAATATAACATGTAATTTTATAGATAATAGCAAATATAGATAGTCCTTGGATATGTTAATATTATGGTATTTAAATGAAACCATTTTAATCCTTGAAATGCTTGCGATTAGAAAATATTATTATAATAATATTATAAAATATTATTATTAAATTAATAATATTGTACGAGTAATAATTTAATTTATATATATTTTTTTTTCGTAAAATAGAAAATGTTACAAACACTATTTGTTTATCAATTTGACATTATTTTGTTTAATATATTTACCAATAAATTATTCTTATAATAATACAGATTAAACTATTACTTTTTTTTTTATACAAAATTTCTTAATAATAAATAAAAAATCATTTATTAAAATATAATTAAATAAAATTTAATTATAAATAATATAAATAAATTAATATTGTTACCTTTCAACAGCAATAACCCAACCATCTCGTATCCGTACAGCATTTGGTCCATCCAGCTCTTCTAGCAAGAATTCAACAAGTTAATTACATATACAAAAAACATTTTCATTTTCATATTTTACAGTATTACGATAATAATTAACAACATTTAAGAAATTTCCTAGTAAATTGATGAATAAACATTTTTTAATTAACAAATATAATATTATGTTCTATGAAATCATTTTAAATCAATGTTAACGAGATTTAATTTAATGATTGGATTAATTAATTATTCGAATTTGTTAAACGTTCCCTTTTCCTCTCTTACGTTCTCAATAAAAGGACAAAAGAAACGAAAAATAGTTGGCATAGGATAGTATCAGACGAGTTACTATTAATAGTTTAAACGATCGTCTGAACGAGAGAAGAACATCGATTACATTTATATACTATTGGCATATCGAAATAAATAATAAATAAAACAATTGTATTAAAATATTATTATACAGAATAATAATAATTTTCTTAGATTTTTTTATTTTTATTTTTTTTTTTTTTAACACTAAACCTACAAACAATTTCAAAAAATTTATATTGTCTACAATTAAACACGAATTATCAATCAGCTTGTCATATCATCAGATCAATTAGCTTGTCGAATTAAAACATGAATTAAACAATTCTTAAATAATAATAAAATAATATTGTAAATTGTAATTATAATCACAAGTCAAATGACAGAAACAAATTTTGAATTGTATGAGAAACACGAAAATAAAAGTAATATAAATTAATATAGTATTACATATACCGTATAAATATTCAAATAAAATATTCAAATTATTAAACAAAATAAATTTAAAAAATATAAACAATAAGAATGTATTTAAAACGATAAAAACAAACTTGGAATTATACGAAGCACGAAAAATAAAAATAATCGAAATTAACATAGTACAGCATATACCGTACAAATAATCAAATTAAATAAAAAAAAAAAAATAAAAGTAACAATTGGGGTATATTTAAAAAAAAATAGTAAAAAATATTAAATCTTACGATAGGTGATAAGACAAAAAAACATTAATTTAAATTATTATAACACACGTTGTACTGTTCAAATAATCCAACAAAATATTCAAATAAATCAAATAAAATATTCAAATAACCAAATAATCAAATAAAATACAAAAGAAACATTTAATATAAATTCAAAAATAAAAATAGTAAAAAATACTAAATGGCACATGCTTGTCACTAAGATAAAAAAAAAATTAATGTAAATTATTATAACATATATAGCACTCTTCAAATAATCAAACAAAATATTCAAACAAATCAAATATACTATTCAAATAATGAAATAAAAATAAAAGTAAAAATTAGTATACATGAAAAAAAAATATATTATAAAAAATACTAAATATAATTATAATATTATAATTTATAATAAAAAATTATAATATAAATACAATAATAATAAATTAAAAAAAAGAAATTAATTTAAATTATTATAACACACGTTTTATTGTTCAAATAATCCAACAAAATGTGCAAATAAATCAAATAATCCAATAAAAAATGTTAAAAAATAAAAATAAAATATAAATTAAACAAAATAATAAACAATACTAATTAATAATAAAAAAGAAAACACTAACACAAGAAGAAAAAAAGGAGAAACAAAAATTAATTAAAATAATTATAACACACGTCGTACCATTTTTCATGAACAATAATTCATCGTCAGGTTCTTCATCGTCGATAAATTTAATATTAGACAAATCAAAGTGTTTAGATAAATCTTGATTCTCGTCAGCACAATCATCGCAAGACGATGACGGTACCAACTTCGAAACATCATCGACAATCGAATCGTTCGCGATATTCGATCGATTATCACCGTGTGAACGATTGCAGCCGCATAAAACGAATTTGCGAAAGAACTTTGACATTTCGAAAAACGAGTAGATGAGGTATTACTGAACGAGAAGATGAGTTTGAAGATGAACGAATGAACGAATGGGTGAGTGGGTAGTAAAGGGTAGGGGTAAAGGGTTCACAGGGTTTATTGATGGAAGGGAGGGGGGTGGGGTTTGAAAGAGGATCGAACTCTTGCACAAAACCAATCCTTCCAACGAAGATTAGACTTCCTCCTTTTTGATTAGCATAAAACGTCGGAGAACGTTTCTTTTTTTTTTTTTGTCTTTTTTTTTATCTTTTACAGAGCTTTTATTTTTCCACTTGGAATTTTTGTTTCTCTCTCTTTTTCTATCTCCCTTTTTCTCACTTTTTCTTTTTCTTTATCGTCACTTTTTATTAAATTTTCACTAGAGATTTTTCTTTTCTTTTTCTTTCTTTTTTTTTTTTTATCGTCTCAAAACACTTCGAAATATTTTTATCGTAGAGATCAGATTTTTTGATTAAACAATTTACATCTTTAATCTATTTATTTATTAAAATTTAATTTAGCTATAAATAATGATTTTGTTTTGTTATTTTGACGTATTATAAAAGTATGAATTTTTTTTTTTAAATATTATAAGAACACAGAAATAAATTAATTTAATATTATATTTGATTTAAGGGTTGTAAAGTTTTTTTTTCTTTTTTTTAATTCAAATAAAATTATGATTGGTTTAATTTTGTAGGAATCCCTTTGTAAATTGGAAAAATGTTTGCTAATGGAATTTGAATTTTAATATAAGAAATTTTTAAAATATAATTTTGTATCGAATGACTGACAAAAACATCGATGAGAATTTTATTTTGATAAAAGAAAAACACTTGGTTGTATCGAAAAGAAAAAGAAAAAAACACCATTACCGGGATTCGATCGAACGAAATTATAAAAAAACGTTTAAAAAAAACTTAAATATATTTGAAAAATCAAAATATTTCGAATGAGTAGAATATCGTTGTATGAAAAATTCTGACGTCAAATTATTCCAACAAAAACACCACACATCGATGTCGCATACTCTTTGTTCGTATCGCACAACTTTTATGTTTTTTTTTACGGTGTTCGGAATAAAAATTAAATAAAAGTATCACTATCTTCTCGTTCTTTGGTAATGTATTCAAGATCACTAATGTACAATTATTCTTTCATCATCATTCTCATCATTATCATCATCATCATCATCTTCTTATTCTTCTTCTTTCTTTTAAATGTGAAAAAAATAACACTTTACTCATTCCTTTAACATTTACTGCTATTAGGGTGAATAAAAAAAATATTTCGCCTTTTTTAAATGATTCTTTTCACAAAGTAAATATTAATAAAAAAAAAAAAAAATAAAAAAAAACAATCCATTAAAACAGTTTCATAGTAAAAGTTTCAACACGATAAACGAACTTTGAACTTTTGATTCAAGGTAATTATCAGCCCTTGTGTATTGAACAAACTACTTTGTCATCGTTTAATAAAAAAAAAAAA